TCTTGAGATCAATGGGAAACAGTCTTTTCGTTCCCTTTTTGGCCCTAGTCACCCACATAGATGACATAGCAGTGTGAGCATGCCCTCCTCCCTTCGTGGATCCAGTTTTCTATCAAACCATTGTGATGTTGATGTATACCTTGCTGTGACTAATGGTGCAGTATTTTGAGCATGTAAGCATGTCACTCCATCAAAAAGAGGATGAGGAGGAATCTCCTCTGTCTCGGGGTGCCATGGGCATGCTGTACAGATAAGCCATTGGAAACGCAGCCAGCATTCAATCCTTTGGAAACAGCAGAATTCCAGTTCTGGTGCCATCATGCAAGCACAGACTGGTGGGACCGCATAGTGCTGCGGTAGGGGTTGATCAGCAGTCACTGCAAAACTTATAAATGTGTAAGGCCACTTCCCTGGAACTTTGCAAATGGCTTTCCCTTGCTGTGAAGGCAGGAACACCTGAATGAGACACGCTCTGACAGAGGAGAAATGCGTGGCAGTTGCCCTGTGGAAGCTTGCAACACCAGACAGCTACTAGTCAATTGGGAATTAATTCAGAGTGGGGAAATCGACAGTGAGGGCTGTTATACAAGCACTCAAGGAAATCAATATCATTCTGCTTTGGAGAGTAGTGATTGTGGGAAACGTGGATACCATATCGGATGGCTTTCCTGTGATAGGGTTCCCAACTGTGGTGGGGTGATAGATAGAATGCACATCCCCCTCTTGGTACCCAACCACCTTACCAAGGAGTACATAAACTGCAAGGGGTATTTCTTGATGGTGCTGCAGGCACTGGTGGATCACCAGGGCCATTTCACTGATATCAACATGGGATGGTCAGGAAAGGTGCATGACGCACACATTGGAACTCCTGCCTCTTCAAAAAGATGCACATTGGAACTTTTTTCCCAGACTGGAAAATTAGAATCGGAGAGGTGGAAATGCTAATAGGGATCTTTGATTACCCAGCTTACTCCTTGCTCCCATGGCTCATGAAGCTGTATTCAGACAGCCTGGTCCACAGTAAGGAGCAATTCAACTACAGGCTAAACAAGTGTAGAATGGGGCACAGATACAGTTTGTGCTTTTGGGCATTTAAGGCAAGGTTTAGGAGTCTACTAACTAGGTTGGACCTCGGCAAACCCAACATTCCCTTTGTGGTGGCCACCTGCTGTGTGCTCCATAATATTTGAGAGCAAGGGGAAACCTTATCTGGCAGGGTGGGAGGCTGAGGCAGGGCGCCTAGCCAGAGATTTTGATCAACCAGATACCAGGGCAATAAGGAGAGCACAGCATGGGACAGTGCAAATCAGTGAGGATTTGAAAGTTTTATGAATGGTCAGTTTTGAGAGTCATGCACCTTGCTCTGAACCAAGATGCCCCTGCATTCAGTGTGTTTGCCTGCAATTCCCTATCCCACCCTCGCAATGCAAGCAATAGAGTATTGTTTAGAAATTATATGTTTTTATTTAGGGACGATAGCAGGGACAAAAAAGCAGTCCGTGGTGGGACTGAAGCAGGGGGGATTAGAAATGTGAGGATGACAGCCTTTTGCCTCCCAAGTCCCTGGAAGATAAGTATGAAGCTGCCCTTGAGCTCTCCCTCCTCTGTGTACTGGGTCTCCTGCAGGATGGACACTATGGAACTGGATGAGGAGGGAATGTAGTTCTTCACGGAGTGGAGTGGGGTTCCTCTCCAGGCCAGGCGCTGCATCCCAGCAGTCAGGGATGAAAATGTTCTCCTGTTGCTTCAAGATATTCTCCTAATACTTCACTCGCTGTTCCCTGCACGCTTTCTTCTTCCCTCCACTATCCTCTCCTATCCCTCCATCTGCATCTCCTCCAGGAACGTATTCCTCCACTACATTGACTCCTTGAACATGCCTTCTCTTGTCCTTTTTTGCCTGTGGATTTGTGCAAGATGGACAGCTGCTGCAGCTAGGAGAATAAGCAGCAAGCTGCCTACTGTTCCCACTGTAACAAAAAGTGACAAGGGCACACTTGCAGGAGATGCATTGTGGAGCCTAAAACCTCAGCAGCAGACAGAGCTCCTTTTCTTGCCCGTTTCAACAAAAGAAACGTGAAAAAGTATTAGATTCCCTCTGTTTTCCTCATCATTACAAGTTTTGTCTCCCCCAACCTTGTAACACCTCCCCCCAAAATTTTTTCTTCATCAGCCTTCCGATCTTTGTTCTCGCCTCATGTCTGGATCCTGCGGCTTCAACCGCTTGCCAAGATGCTATGCCCATCTCTGACAATCATGCCTTGTGCATAAAGTGTCTGGGAGAAGCCCATCAGACACAAAAGTGTGCTTATTGCTCAAATCTTACAGCCAGAGCACACCGCGACCGCGCCAATAGATAAAAAAACTTTTCTGTATGAAAAATAGTTCCAGCCACCTTGTGAAGATTCGTCTTCCATCTCAAAACTACCAAGTGAGCCGAAAGGCCTTTTTCCTGTTCACATGAAGAGCAGTAGAAGTGCAAGATCTGGTCATAGTGGGACACTCTGAGAGGCTTCACAGAGGCCAAGAACCTCAACTTTCTCTGTTGGTCTGCACTACTGTGCCAGTTCGAATTTTGTGTTACTCCTCATGAAAAGCAGGAGTACCAAAATAGACTTCAGTGGCCTTTAAAGTCTACAGAACCGCCTTGGTGTAGTGTGAACTCTGTTTAGAAAGTGGACCTTAAGTAGCTAAATTCAATCTAAACTCCTAGTGTTGACCAAGCCTTAGAGAATAAGCCACCTCGAATATTTTAAATAGAGAAACGGGGTAAAAACGTTTTAAATAATATTTATTAGGTCATACACTTTTGTAGGAGTAAAACCCACATCATTAGATGAATTGGAGTGTGTGTAACAGAGGCAGAAGTGTATATAATGTTTTTGCAGATACAGCTACCCCTCAGATTTTTCATCCCTTAAGCTGATTTTTCCCAGCAATGGATGATTAAATTCAGTAACCTCTCTTGCATCATGCTTTGTCCCTCAATCTTTTTTAAAAAACAAAATAAAACCCAGTAATGGATTTATTTTTATTTTCCAGTCCTACAGAATTTGTCTGAAATTCGGTGAACCAGGGTGGGAAAAAGGGAATCGGATTCACCAGTTTACTTGCTTTTTAAAAAAATCTATGGGTTCATATTTATCTGGCTCTCATGCTTTTTCTGCATTAACTGCATCTAACTTTTAATTATATATTTTACTGGTGCACTACCTAGCTCCTCATTCATTCCTGGAAAATTAACTGCTAAGTTGGGCACACACTTCCTCTACAAAGACAGAAGCAAAGTAATTAAGTCTGTTTCTTTATCCCCCTTTAAGGTCTTCATTGTCATTTTAAGTAGCCCATGATTTGTCTTCGGTCTAATGTTTTTGAGTGTGTTTATATTTGAAATTTTAGACTCCTTGCTTTTCTCATCAGTTAACTTGTTAGGGCAGTTGATATTATTTCAAGAAAATGGTGGTGGGGGCGGGGGGAATAACTTCCACATTGTAAAAGTAATAAAATACCTTTTTAAGGATATCTGGTAAAGGAACTACACATCTAGGGTACATCTAGACTACAAGCCTTTTTTGAAAGAGAGCACCCAAGCAGTCTGAATGCTCTCTTTTGAAAAAGCACAGTTTGCATTACATAGCACCTTTTTTCAAAAGAGCACTTTCAAAAAAGGCGTTATTCCTCGTAAAACAAGGTTTTCTACGGTCGATAAAACCGCCACGTTCTTTTGATTTACTGTTGATAGATCACGGTGGCAGTCTAGCCGCAGGTAAAGATTTTTCAAAAAAAGGCCACTTTTTTAAAAAAATCCCTGTAGTCTAGACATACCCCTAGATTTTCTTCCATAAAATTCTAATTTTTATTTATATCAATATTTGTAGCAGTAACCATAGGTAAAAGTTATTTCTGTTCATTTTACCTAATTTGGAAGCAAATCAATATAAGGTATTTACTGTAAGCTGCAAAAAAAGTTATGGTATAAATTTAAGGAAAATAAGGTCTTTGACTGTATATTGTTGATATTGATTTTGCCTTGAAGCTTTGCACAGTTTTTGGATGGATTAACTCACATTGTGTCTTTAATTGTAGAATAACACTGCACCTGGGGCAATGACACGACGGAATACATACGTTTGTAGTGAGAGAACTACTGCAGATAGACATTCAGTAATCCAAAATGGCAAGGAGAACAGGTATGAAATTTCTCTTAGAAAAATATGTACTTGTTATCTTATTCTTTGATAAAGTTATAGTTTGTGATTCAAAATTAATCAATATCATAAAGGGTTATATTTTTCTCTAAAAGGTAAATACAAATCTGCAGCTCGTGGAGACTTGCAAGAACTTGCTTCTGCAGTGCGTAGACAAGAAGTATTCTAAGGTTTCCAAAAATTTATAGCATTAATTTATAGACCCTGGACATGTGTTCCATGGTTGGATAGCCTGTGTACACTGGTTACAACTTGAATCATTCAGTCATTCTTCTGGGCACTTGGACAAAAAAACCTGCTCTGTTACAGTAAAAGTAGTTTAGTTCTTGAAAATTATAGAAAGGCTTCTGTATTAGAGGCCCAACAAAAACGGTGTGCTCTGTTGGTACGTATTCCAGTCTCTGCTGTGCTCGCTATCATCACATTGTAATGTCATACTTTTAGAATATTACCAATTTACGTTAGAAAAGCTACCTTCTGTCTGACCAGGTAACAGAATGAGTGAGGCCTGTGATTGAGGCCTGTTACTTACTCAGAAGAGCTTGCAGGCCCCAGATATACCTGAAACATTAAAATGTAACGTAAACCTATCCTGTCAAAGAGAGGGGGGGGGCAAAGGAAGAGGAACATATCTGTATGAGCATCCCCTTCACCACAGAAGCAGATTGTCAAGTAGAATATTTGGAAGGCATGAGATTTCTTTATTGGCTTGAGTGCTAGTCAGAAACCCAGCTCAGTCCTCAGTTATGGTGCTGCCTGGAGATTCACTAGTTTCAGAAACTACCAGGTAGGGAGTTAACTGTGTTTCTCTATCAGGAATTGGAGTGAATTTTAACTACATCCAATTGAATTTGAAACTTGCAGCAGTTAGTTATAGTTGTATGATTCTGCCCTATAGGTGGCTACAATCTCTGGCAAGTTGTTGAACAAATGAGACTGAAAGGAAGCAAAGCGTCTCTCCGATCATGGAGGTGATGTTACGTTGGTGTAGTGGGAGGCACTGACATAATTAGGTTGACATGAGCTGGTTTTTATCAATGTAACTGTAGTGTAGTCCGAGCCTGGTGGACAGAATTTGACTGAAATATAGAACTCCCTGAAACAGGTGAATATCAAGTTTGAGAGGAAACAAAAAACAGGACTGTGTAGCACTTTAAAGACTAATAAGATGGTTTAATAGGTGATGAGCTTTCGTGGGCCAGACCCACTTCCTCAGATCAAATAGTGGAAGAAAATTGTCACAACCATATATACCAAAGGATACAAATAAAAAAAAATGAACACATATGAAAAGGACAAGAACACATATTCCTGCGCATCCAGAAATATAATTTATGCAATCATGTGCCGAAAGTGTCCGTCTGCTATGTACATTGGACAAACATCTCAGACACTTCGCCAAAAGATCAATGCCCACAAAACAGATATCAGACAGGATCACAAAGAAAGAACAGTTTCTTGCCATTTCAACCAGAAAGGACATTGTCTCAACGACTTGATTACCTGCATCCTGCTTCAAAGACCTTTTAAGACTTCTCTTCAAAGAGAATCCTCTGAACTGTCATTCATGCTTAAATTCGACACTTTACACTCAAATTTGAATAAAGACGCTAATTATCTTACCCATTACAAAGATAGCTTCCCCAATTATCATCTCTAATATCATTAGCTCGCAGACATTTACCTCCCCCCCCCCATCCCCCTTCTGTTCTGAAATTTGATTTGTCCTTTTCATGTGAGTTCACTTTTTTTTTTTAATTGTATCCTTTGGTATATATGGCTGTGACAATTTTCTTCCAC